TATTAAAAATTATCGGTTAATGCAGCTTAATTCTTTGAAAATGATCTTTAATTTATGGTGTAAGATCAAAGGAAACCATTTCACTGCAGTAAACCATTTAACTGCAATTCAACCAAAATGTTGCAAACATTTCCTAACTATGCATAATTTGTCGTTATTCTAATGTTTTGAGGAAAAATAAAGTTTATTTTCTCCGTTGCCTCAGTGTAAATCAAACAAAAGTGGAATTGTTTTGGYCAACAAAACTAAATGTCATTAAATTTCAGCCAATCATATTACATGACCCTGAATTTTAATTAGTTCCTGATCCAAAGCAAAGTAAACAGAGATTTACCGCCAAGGATAATTAGAATTTACCAAACTATATAGTGCAATTCTTACGGTAAATTGGGAATACGAATACGAAAAATTCTTTTGAAAATTCTAAAACTAGAGATCTTGATAGTTTTGAACCTTTTATTTATAGTTTCGAGTTGGAGATTTGACACCGTCCACGTTGGATCCGATGTTGGCTCATAGTTCCGTAGCAACGAAGCGTGTATACTTAAAACTTCATCTAAAACATGCTTAGAAATTACAAAATCCGTGGAAATTACACTTCTCGAAAGACTTAGAAGTAAATGTGTCGAATTCCTGAGTGTCAAATCAGTAGCCAGATCGTTCGTTTCCAAGGTGTCTTGAAGAAATGAACACTTAACAGACGTGTCGACATAACAGTTTACTTTTTTATATGTTTTGTCATCCTGATGGAAGAGTTCGACGAAAATGGCTGGGCCCACATTCACCATGCAGCCTTCAATGGCTATCATAAGAGCGTGTCTCGATTTGTAAAGAGCAAGGACGATCAACTCGAACTCGAGACTCAAGATGGCCAGCAAAGCACGCCATTTCTTTTGTCTTGTACAAGCGGTGTCCTCGATACTGTACAACTTTTGGTCGAATTGGGAGCCAACTTGAAGGCCACAAATCGTCATTCTCAGGGCGCTGTGCTGTTAGCTGCTTTGCATGGTCATATTCATATTTTAGAGTACTTTCTCGAACTTAATCATGAAAGTTCATCCGTTTGGGAAGAGCTGATAAAGGGACTTGCTCTCCAAGATATGGAATCTGCTTCTGCTAAAGTGTTAGTTGAACTTACCCTTGACGAAAAAGAAAAAAATTACGAATCTTTTGTCAGTATTGATGGAGTCAAAGCAGTGGTACAGCTCTTGAAGAAATCGTTTCCAAATGAAGAGCCCAAGACTTTTGGTCTTTCTATTCTTCTGAACATCGTGAAATACCCACCTGCGAAGCAACAGTTGGGAGAGATAGGAATACCAGCTATCATTTCTCAACTCAAAGAAAACCAAAGACCTTTGTATATGCGGGCTTCTAAAATTCTCGGTGAACTCGCCTTTAATGAGAAGAATAAGGCAACTATTGCCAGTAATAATGGTGTTGATGCCTTAGTGAACTTATTGCAGAATAATGATGATGAGGAAGTTGTCGATTGTGTTTTGAGAACAATCAAAAATTTGGCTGATTCCAATTCTGAGATCCAGACCTTAATTGGAAACAACAAAACTACCATGAAATCCTTTGTGAATTTGTTAACAGAAGTCAAGAACAAGCATGTGTTAGCAACAGTTGCTAGGACGATAAGTATGATTGTCAAGACGCACAGTGCTAATCAAGATGGGTTCATTAATGAAGGTGGCATACCACCTCTCATGGAGTTGATGAAGATAAAATCTCGTGAGTGTCAGTTTGCCGTGGTAGAAGCAATCCAAGCTTTATGCGAGAAAAATGAAAATAATCAAACCATCGTGACTGACCTCGGATGCGTCATGATGTTGATGAGACTACTGAAGCGATCTCGGCAAGCCGATTTAAGGAAATTAACAGCAAGTGCTTTATGGGCCATAGCAGGAAACAAGAACACACAGAGACGCTCTATTGCTAATGAGATTGGTGTTAATATGCTAATAGAATTTCTATCTGAAAATCTTTCCCAAAGTCTACACTTTATTGGATCAGAAGCTCTGGGAGTCCTTGCCGATGGTGTGCACAAGAAAAGAGATGAAATAGCAGAAGCTAATGGAGTAATGCCATTAGTACGACTCCTCACCAAGGCCTCCACTCCAGGTTTTATTGTACTGAGTGTTTTACGAACTCTGAGGTCTTTGTGTTTGTGTGTTGGTTTCAGGCCGCACTTGAAAAACCAAAAGGCTGTGTCTAATGAAGGAGGAATTAAGTTCTTGATAAGATTCATGGTACACGCTCGACAGGAAATAATTAAGGTTGAGGCAGCATACACTTTAGGAAGTGTTTCCCTTGGCAACAGTGACAACATGAAAGAAGTTTTAGAACACAGAGAGTTTAGCTTCCTTCATATTTTACGGCTTTTGTATGATGAAGATGAAGAGGTTGCACTCCTTTCCGGTGCGGCACTCGCTCTCTTTGCTTATAATAATGTTGCAAACCAGAAAGCCATTGCAGTGTCTGGAGGAGTGAGGTACCATTCATTTCTTCCATTTTTGGAATCAAAGGACTTACGGCAAGTTGCACATGCTGCTTTTCAAATCATCATCCTATCGCGAATAATCCCAGATGAAGATCAGTCATTAACCTGTGCAACTGGTGTCAAGCTCCTTGTATCTTTACTTGAATGTCAGTCTGAAGATATCCAGACACTAGCAGCAAACTTCCTGGGAGGGCTTTCTCATACAAGGGCGGGAGTACCTGCCGCTATCATCTCCATTGGTACCATAGACCTCCTGGCCAAACTTCTCATGTCACCTTTTGAAACAGTCCAGGCATCTGCAGCAGTGACACTTGGTTTCCTTAGTTACGACAAGGTTGGAGAACGTCAGTTGTTGAATACCTGCCGACATGATCCATTTCTCTATAAAGTCCTCCAGTTTCATGCAGGCAAAGTCAAACTTTCACCTGACTTTGTGGAAAGATGGAAACACTACAAGAAAATTGGCCTTCCTCCAATAATGTAAGTCCAAGAMCCCACTTGCTAATTGTGTACTTTTTGTGTTTAGCAAGTCAGGTGAGAAACAGCATTTGCTGTTTTTGCTTTTGTCAATCAAATTAGGGACCGCAGAGCAAAGTTTTGTTGGGGGAGGGCTGTTTCATCAGGGGCTGGAGGGCATGATCCGGGAGAATATAGCCTACATTATATTACATATCACTGACTCAGGGGGTATTACTACAAAAGCAACTGTTATGTCAGCTTATTCATTTGGGTTTGAATGTTTGTTTGTTTTGCGTACTTATAGATCCAAGCCAAGTCATCTCAATATGGGTGACAAGAAGTTAGTAACCACACAGTTTGCCTTGGATGCTGATCAGACATTCACTGTTGTCAGTACCAACACAACCTCTCCTGGTATCATGGGATCTGACGATCAAGAGCGCAAGGTTTCTGCTTCAACCAGGACAGGGACAATCATGAAATTACCAATTGCATAATACCAAGAAGTTGAGAATTAAAGAAAAGATATGATCATGGCTACCAAATTCTTAGAGCATCAAAATATGTTTTGCTTGCTTTTGGCACAAAAAATTACAAAGTATAGTTACATGGAGTTTTTTAGCTAGATGCTTTCAATTTTGTGGTTCAAAATTAATTTGACTTTCAAACTTGTTGTGCTGAAAAATAGTGATAATTATGACATACAGATATATTCAACTCTGAACCAATCAGAAAGCAAGAAAATAAACTAATCAAATTAGTTTTGCATGATCTTTTTATGGCACGAAAAATGAAATATGCCCTTTCAGCCTTTCTGAAAATAGCTCAAGCTTGTCTAAAGGCCGATTTAGACGGTATGATTTTCGCCTACAACTATCGTATACGACACGCTCACGTCTGTTGTAGGCGAGTTGTAGGCTTGATTTACACACTACGACTCRAGTTGTAGGATGGTGCGAGCATGTTGCATACGATAGTTGTAGGCAAAAATCRTACCGTCTAAACCGGCCTTAAGAAGTTTGTAACTTTTCTTTAGGAATGACAATATTATGTACAGAAAAGGTATATAGTGGTAATTAGTTTTATATGTATACGAAGGAGTTCTGTTTATATAGGATTGGTAAAAACGACTACAGTGTGTAATATTTTGTGTGGTATATTAATTTTTGTTTGTTCAAATTTTCTATGGCATGACGTATTGAAGATTCTCGATACTAGTGAGTAAATGGTAAGCAAGTGTTAAAGTTCTGATATGTTGTATTCATTTTCTGGTTGAATCTATAGATCATATTTTTCTTCATTTAATATTTTTCCATTTCAGTCCACATGTCATTCCCTAAAGTATCATTTCTTGATTGACATTGGCACATTAGAGGGCATGTAAATATGGATACGACTCGTAAAAAAACTCACGACACCTGATCTGAAATGGATAAAGCATGAATTTCTAATATTACAAATCCAGGGCTCCAAGATATTTTTCTAAATTTCCTTGAAGGATTTATAGTTAGGTATTACCCGTAGTTTTTAATCACAGAAATTCCTTTTCACAAAAAGAAACAATATAAATATATTTGTACAGAAAATTATTACTTAACTAAAGCTTTTAGTGAGGAATTTAATGAGGAATTTAACTAACGATAACAAAATATTAACTAGAGTGATTTAACTTGGCCCACAAAAAATATTAAGTATATTTCATAGTGATAGCCACTAATTCCATTGTTTTCTTTTGTTTTACTTTGACTGTTAGTCACTAATAATACAACTTTAATAGGCAGAATTATAGCACTCTAGTATTTGACTATTTGAGGGATGAACTATTAGATAATTGATGGGGGGG